CAAAGGCAATGGCATAGAGATAGAGCAGCTGCGGGCTCTAGGACCATGGACTGAGTAAAACTATGTCTTGCAGGCAGGAGTATGGCTTGCAGAATATGCCCTTAGGACATTTAAATGAATATGTATTTTTTATTTTGTATGTACCCATCAAATATTTTTGCTTTGTTCATTTGTGAAATATAAAATGTAAAAGGGAAAATATAATGTCTATCCTGGAGAATATTCCAGGTGCCTAATAGAACGTATTCTGTTGTTGAACAGAGTGTTCTATTGGTGTCATTAGGTCAAGTTGACAAGTGTTTTTCAAGTCTTTTATATTCTTCTGAAATTGTTTCCCATTTCTTTCATCCATTACGGAGAATGACATGTTAGTTTTTTATTGCTTCTCTAACAAATGACCACAGACTTCATTTCTTAAATCACACAAGTTTATTATTCTACAGTTTTACAGGGTACAAAAGGAACCCTGATGCTACTATGGGTCAGGCACTGAGTTGCTAACCACAAGATCAGGAGTTCAAACCCACCAGCCACTTCTCAAGAGAATGATGAGGCTGTTTGCTCCCATAGAGATTTAGTCTTGGAAACCCTATATAGGGTCACTGTAAGTCAGAATGGACTCGAAGGCAGGTTTTGCTTGTTTTTTAATAGGTCTGACACATGTTTCATTGGTCTAAAATCAAGGTGTTCCCAGGGCAGTGTAACTTCTGGAGGTTCTAGGAGATGATACATTTCCTTGTTTACTTGTTATTGCCTTAATCCAGTTCCTTGTGGATATGGAATGAAATTTCTGTTTCCTTGCTGGTGGTCACCAGAGGCTGTTCTCAACTTCTAGAGCCAACCTACATTTTTTGGATCATGGTTCCCTTTTCCATTTGGAAAGCCAATAGCAGTGGATGGAGTCCCTCTCACATCTGAACAGCTCTTCATTCTTCCATCGCATCTCTCTGACCAAGCTGGGGGAGGCGCTCTGCTTGTAAGCAATCATATAATAATATTGAACCTACCTAGACAATTCAAAATAATCTCCCCATCTCAAGGTTTATAACCTTTATGATATCTGCAAAGTACTTTTTGTTACATAAAGTAACATATTTACAGGTTTTAGGGATTAGGGCATGGGCATTTTGGGGGGACGTTATTCTAACGTCAGTATAGGTATTGAGAACTTCAATAATTTTGTTGAATTTCTCCCTTTCCCCTTTCATTCTGTCTTTTTATGGTTTATGTAGGAACTCTGCTGTTCAGAACTCTGTTGTTAAGAAAGTCAGACTTTCTTCATATACTTTAACCAAAACAAAAATTACACAAATTAAATGCAAAGCAATGAGAATCCAGCTATCTTGTATTAAATTGAACATTACAGAGGTTTACATAAATGTAAAACGGTGTCATTCTTTTCACAAAATTTGTTGTGAATAAGTTACTTTTCATTAAAAACATATTGATATTTGTTAATAGTTATTTGTACTAATAATTATATTGTTGAGTAAGTTTTTAATTCTTTTTAAATTTCTCAGTTTTAGTTTCTAAGAAGATAAATACTGGTAGATTTAGCCACATAAACAAAAGCCCTTTTAGATCATCAACAATTTCAGAATGTAAAGGAATCTTGAAATCAAATATCTGAGAATGCTGACTCATTGATTCAGTTAACACTTCCATTCAGGGAATCCACCCCACCTTCCCAGTACTTATAGTAACTAGATTTCCCTACAAAAAAAAAAAAAAAAAAAAGATACAGTCCCTAAGAGATGTAGTCACTTTGAGAGTTCATTATGTAAGGTTTCACTAGAGTACTCCAGGAGCAACCTGAACACAGGAGAATAAGATAAAGACATTCAATTCCTAGTTTTGTACACAAGAGGCATGATGGTACATCAGAGACAACAAATGATAATCTATGAGTCAAGTGAAGAGCTTTTGATTTCTAAGGTATCCTGGTAGGTGCTATCGAACCGGTACAACTCATAGTGACCCGAACAGAATAGGTACAACACAATCGGTACAACAGAATAAGATACTGCCCAGTCCTGCACCAACCTTACAGTTATTGCTATGCTTAAGAGCCCACTGCTGCTGCCACTGTGCCAATCTATCTCGTTGGGGGTCTTCCTTTTTTTCTCTGACCCTCCACTTTACTAATAAGCATGTCATTCTCCAGAGACTGATCCTTCCTGATAATCTGTCTGAAGTAAGAGTGATGAAATCAGACCATCTTGGCTTCTAACCAGATGAGGTTACTGAAAAATACCATGATTTGGGTCAGATACACCTTAGTCCTCAAACTGACATCTTTGCTCTTGAATACCTAAAAGAGGTCTTGTGCAGATTTGCCTAGTACAATGAGTCATTTGATTTCTTGACTGCTGCTTCCATAGTGTTGATGGTTGATCCAATCAAAATGAAGTCTTTGACAACCTCTCTCCATATATCTTGACGTTATTTATTAGTCCAGTTGTGAGGATTTGTTTTCTTTACGTTGAGGTGCAACCATACTGAAGGCTATGGTCTTTGATCTTCATCAGTATATATATATATATATATATTAAGTACTCTTTGCTTTCAGCAAGCACAATTTTATCAGTTGCATACTGCTAGTTGTTAATGAGTCTTCCTCCAATCTTGATGTCATTCTCCTTCATATAATCCAGCTTCTTGGATTATGTACTATGTACACTGATTAAGTATGGTAAAAGAATACAACCCTGGCACACACCTTTCCTAATTTCAAGCCATTCAGTGGTCCCTTGTTCTGTTTGAACAACTGCCTATGTACAGGTTCCTCATAAGCACAATTAATTGTTCAGGAATACTCATTATCTGCAATGTTATCTATAGCTTGTCATGATCCACAATAGAAAACCTTTGCATAGTCAATAGAGCGCAGGTTAAACATCTTTCTGGTATTGTCTGCTTTTAGCCAAGATCCCTCTGACATCAGCAGTGATATCCCTTGTTCCATGTTCTCATCTGAATCCGGCTTGAATTCCTGGCAGTTCTCCGTCAGTGTGCTGCTGCAATCGTTTTTGAATTGTCTTTAGTAAAATGTTACTTGCGTGGGGTATCAATGATTTCATCCAGTGATTTCCGCATTCTGTTGGGTCACCTCTCTTTGGAATGGGCAAGTTTGGGATCTCTTCCAGTCAGTTGGTTAAGTAGCTGTCTTCCAAATTTCTATAGCCAGAGAGCAAATATTTTTTGACTCATCCTTGTATGTAGATGATAGCTCAATAAAGTTATTTTTTTTTAAAAAAAAAGGGTAGGTTTACTGACTTCCATTCCAGACCAGATGCATTAATAAGGAAAGTATTTAACCTCCTGCCTAAAACAACTAAAATACATGAAGAAACAGCTTTTTATTGCATGACCATCATGCAATGAAGGAACATGATCCCTGTGGGAATGGAAACAAACGAGATGAGCACTACGATTGCTCAGGTGTAGCCTCGAAGACTGACTGACTGAAGAGTGAAGCTGAGAGTTCAGAGAAGCCAATGAGGCAAGAGTTACAGTGAAGAGTACCATAGTGGAGACATTTTCACAATAAGGGAGCTCTGAAGATCTTAAGAGGGTCCACCCTGGAATCATTAGCTGAATACTAATCAGTACACATATTCACTGAAACCTACCAGAGGCTAGAAAAAAACCTTCCAAAAGAAAAGGAGGAAACAATTCCCAGAATTCACACAGGGCCAAGAATAGTGTCTTGTTCCCCACATTTCAAGTGGGGGGAAGACCATTTATTCATGGGACAGACCCATAATAAGTGAAGCGATTAAATTCATAATAAAAAACTTTTCCACAGAGAAAAGCCCAGTACCAGATGGCTTAATTGATGAATTCTACCAAACATTTTAAAGAGAACAAATATTAAATCTATGATTAAATTGAAAAGAAGGGAATACTATATAATTTATTTTATGAAACAAGCATTATCATGACATCAAAAGCTGAAAAAGACATCACAAGAAATGTAAATTAAAGGTACCAGCCCTCGAAAATATACAAGCAAAAATTAGTATCAAAATTTTTGCAAAGGTAAAAACACCACGGTCAAGTGGGGTTTATTTCAGGAAAGCAAGTTTGGTTCTAAAAACATCAACATAATTTATATTATTAACTAAAACAAAAATATATAATTTCAACAAATATATTTGACAACATTCAACATCTATTCCTAACAAGAACTCTCAATAAGCTAGAAGTCAACTTTCTCAACCTCACAAAGTACATTTATGAAAAATCTGTAGACTATATATCATACTTAAATACTGAATGCTTTTTAATGGGAGGGGAATATGACAACCTTGCTTAGTATCACCACTCCTATTCAGCATTGTCCTGGACCCCCTAGCCAGCCAGTGCAATCAAGCAAAGAAAAATGCACAGTATAAGAAAGAAGAAAAGTAAAACTGTCTTAATTCAAAGATGACATGATCCTCTCTAGAGAGAAACACCAATCAAATATACAAATCAAATGACTTTAACTAGGAAACAAAATGAGTTTCATATCATACTATAAAACAAATCAGCTGTGCAGGCAATGAAACAAACAATTGGAATTGAAATTATAAAAAGTAACATTTACAATATTATCAAAAACATTAACCTAGCAGATTTCAAAAATTTGTGGAAGAAGGACTTTTTTCCATGAACTTTTTGAAGCCCACTGTATACTTCATATTAAAAAAATCTGAGAAAAGGCCAAGATTTAAAATACTGAAAACTAGAGAGGATGCCACAATACCATTAATCATCAGGAAAATGGGCACATGAAAATCTTTAAAACAGTGTACTTGTAGTGAAATCTGATAAAGTGCTTTTTAAGAAAGAGTAGGCTTATACTGGATTCAAAATGGAAGCTGAAAGTGATAATGACTGAAGTCCACTATGGTCAGCCTTTAAGTAGAAAGACAAGTAAAGAATCTATCTTTTCAGGTTTCACTAATGCTATCAGTTAATTAAATGTGAATTTAAAGTCTTCTACAAGCTGTTACCTGTGAGATATGATTGATGGAAGACTCCATTCTCCGAAGTTGAGAGGCTTGGATGTCCAGCAATTGGAGAACATTGTTGGCCAATGCATTTATTTGATAAGCAACACTAGCTAGGGATTGGGTTGTATAGGCTTTGGTTTCTTCTAAAGCTTTCCTCTTGTCTGTAGCCTGAAATAAGAACAAAGACAATCTATAGTTACTTAGGTTCATTCATTAAGCAGACATTCTATAGAAAGGCAGATATATTATACTTTTTAATAGAAAAAATAAATTCAGCTAAAAAACTTATTGGACTCATTTGGCCATAGTAACTGAAAAGGACTATAAGGACACTATCTGCCAGATGGAACCACTTACTCCTGATTAGCCAATCCAGTGATGGCCATTAAAAGGGTTACCAGGTGTCTGTCATCACAGTATCAGAGGCACACAGTAACAGTTGGCTTGAGTTGCTAACTTCCCTCAAGAATCAACTCACTGCATCACTATCTTTAGGACCTGTCTTTACCACATTCCTTATCTACTAATGATGATATGCACTAGATCCATTCCACCATACACACTCCTGTTTACTTTAATCACCATCAGAAATCCAACCTTCCTGTATCTCCATTATGATCAAGCCTCTCATTTCCACAAAAAAGACTACAAAATGTACCCAACCCCTTGCCCATCTCTTTTACCCAAACTTTTAAAACATAACTGGAGTCAGATACAAGAACTTCTCAAAAAGGAACAAAGTTGTTTTTTTTTTAAAGTGATAGACTGTGAGCAGGGGAACTCACAACTTATATCACAAAAAGGTTGTTGTTGTTAAGTGTCGTCGAGTCGGTTCTGACCCATACCGACCCTGTACAGGGTTTCCGAGGGTGTAAATCATTACGGGAGTAGAAAGCCTCATCTTTCTCCCAAGGAGCGGCTGGTAGTTTCGAACTGTTGACCTTAAGGTTCGCAGCCCAATTCGTAACCACTACGCTACCAGAGCTCCTAATATGTATTTTTGTTGTTAAGTGCTGGCAAGTCGACTCCAACCCTATATGATAAGGTTTCTGAGGAACAACTGGTGAGTCTGAACTGCTAATCTAGCAGTTCAAGCTGACCTTGAGGTTGAGTGCTTATCCTATGGTGCCATACAATGACTCCATCACTAATATAGAATCTGAAAAATACCAACAATCCATTAGTAGATATCCTAGGGATCTAACAGAAGTGACATGAGCAGACATATGCAAACCTGTTTATTGTACACTATTCACAATAGCAGAAAGATGGAAACGACTTAGGAGTCCATCAAAGAATGAATAGATAAATAATATGTGGTACATACAAACAATAGACTACTCTCAGTAATAAATAAAAATGACTTCACAAAATATCTTGGAACATGGATGAACCTAGAGGACATTATGTTGAACAAAATAAGTCAAACATACAAATTGTATTTTCTGTTTTATGAAATGACATGAACAAGTATACAGAAATTAATGTTCATTTTGGTTACCAGGGATGGGAAGGGAGTGGAATTCACTCTCTAGATAGTAAACACTTGTTATATTTGATGATGGAAAAGGTTATCCTGAATGAGGGTGAAGTGTACACAGCCTGATGTAGGTAAACAATGTCACTAAGATGTATTTAAGAAAAAAGGACATTTCGGTAACTACTATCACATATAAAATTCTGAAAAGCAGCAATAACCAAATATATGTGTCAGTATATATGGATGATAATTCAATCTCCAAAACAATGCAAATATGTTTGGAACAGTACATCAACACAGAACTATTTATTACAAATTCAAGCCAGCATTAAGAGGACATGTAACTAGGGATATCATTAAGAACATCAGATGGATCTTGGCTGAAAGCAGAGAATACCAGAAAGATGTCTATCTGTGCTTTACTGACCATACAAAGGCTTTTGACTGTATAGATCATCACATACTATGGATAACATTGAAAGAATGGGATATTCCAGAGCAATTTGTATTTATGAGGAATCTGTACATAGACCAAGAGGCAGTTGTGTTCAAACAGCACAAGGGAACACCGAATTGTTTAAAATCAGGAAAGGTGTGCATCAGGGTTGTATTCTTTCACCATACTTATTAATTTATGTGCTGAGTAAATAATCCAAGTATCTGGATTATATGAAAAACATGATATTAGGATTGGAAGAAAACTCATTCACAACTTGATACAACCTTGTTTGCTGAAAGTGAAGAGGGACTTAAAATACTAACTGATGAAGATCAAAGACCACAGCCTTCAGTATGGATTACATCTCAATGTATACAAAAAATCCTCACAACTGAACTAATAATTAACATCATGATAAATAGAGAAGAGATTGAAGTTGTCAAAGACTTCATTTTCCTCAGATCAACCATCAACACTCATGGAAGCAGCAATTAAGAAATAAAATAATGTATTGCATTAGGCAAATCTGCTGCACAAGACCTCTTTAAAGTGTTGAAGAGCAAAGATGTCAATTTGATGACTAAAGTGCGCCTAACCCAAATACTGGTATTTTCAATCACATTTTATGTATGTGAAAGTTGGACAGTGAAAAAGGAAGACCACAGAACTGATGCATCTGAGTTATGGTGTTGGAGGACAATATTAAAGGAACCATGGACTGCCAGAAGAACAAACAAATCTGTGCTGGAAGAAGTACAGCCAGAATGCTCCTTAGAAGCCAGGCTGGTAACACATTATCTCTCATACTTCACACGTTATCAGGAAGCAATCCATGGAGAAGGACATCATGTTTGGTAAAACAGAGGATCAGAGAAAAAGAGGAAGACCCCCAATGAGATGAACAGACATAATGTCAGCAGCAATGGGTCAAACATTAACAAGAACTGTGAGGATAGCTCAGGAACAGGCAATGCTTCATTCTGTTGTGCATAAGGTCACTATGAGTCAGAACCACCTAACAACATATGTATGTATGTAGGGGTATAGGTGTGTGTGCATATAAGTGTATGTATATGTAACAAGGGGCTTCAAAATTTTTGTGGAAAATAGAATTAAAAGATAGGGAATTTCCCACAGACTTTTTGTAGCCCTCACATAATGAACAAGCAATCCCCAGGATGCAAATGGATATCCATTCCTAACTGTTTTTATATCGTTGTTAGGTATCACTGAATTGGTTCTGACTCATGGGACCCCACTACTCAATCCTACACCATCCTCACAATTGTTACATTTGAGCCCAGCTGTTGCAGCCACTGTATCAATCTATCTTATTGGGGTTCTTAGTCTTTTCCGCAGATCCTCTACTTTACCAAGCATGATGTCATTCTCCAAAGATTGGTCCCTCCTGACATGTCCAGAACACATAAGATTAAGTTTTGCAATCTTCCCTTCTAAGGAACATTCTGATTGTACTTCTTTCTAAACTGATTTGTTTGTTCTTCTGGCAGTCCACGTTGTTGCTGTTGTTGTTAAGCGCTGTTGAAGTCAGTTCCAACCCATAGCAACCCTTTATAAGGGTTTCCAAGGAGCAGCTGGTGAGCTTGAACCACTAAGCTTGCTGTTCAAACTGACCTTGCAATCCAGCACATTAACCCATAGGTGCACACCAGGACTCCATGGTATTTTCAATATTCTTTGCTAACACCGTAATTCAAATGCTCAAATTTTCCTTATTAACTGTCCAACTTTTGCATGCATATGATATGATTAAAATACTAAGGCTTGAGTCAGGCACACCTTAGTCCTCCCTCCAGGTGACATCTTTGCTCTTTAACACCTAGCTTTTGTTGTTGCCATTGCTGCTAAGTGCCGTCAAGTCAGTTTTGACACATAGCGACCCTATATAGGGGTTCTATGGAGCAACAAGTGGATTTGAACTGCCAACCTTGTGGTGAGCAGTCCAGTGCTTATCCTACAGCATCACACCAGGACCCCAGCCTTACGTTAGTACAAGAAAAGGAGCCCTTGTGACACTGTGTGCTAGATAATGGGCTGCCAACCCACTCGCCACTCAGAGAGAAAAATGAGGCTGTCTGCTCATAAAGTTCTCAAAAACTATGTAGGCTCACTAGGGGTCCAAATCAACTTAACAGCAGTGGGTTTAGCGCAAGAAAAGGCTTGAAGCCTTTTCAATGATTTAAAAGCTTCACATGCAGCACGTGAAGGGATTTTGATGAAGAATCTGTTGCGAATAGTGGTTAGAGCAATCATTTATGTTAACATTAAAAGGAAAGTAGAAATTGTCCATAAATTGAACATTAGGAACCCAGGGATTATGTGTATATTTATATATATAAAATCAAGCACACGGGGGGGGGGGCACAGTTTCAGATACTTCCTAGACATAATCAAACACCTCGCAGGATTGACTTTCTAGGTTTGAAAGATTAGGACTATAGTCTCATGTGACATCCTCAGTCAATTGGCATAATGTAGTTAATAAAGTTATGTTATACATCTTAGTTTGGTAAGTAATGTCTGGGATCTTAAAAACTCGAAAGCAGCCGTCTAAGATACAACCAATTGGTCTCTACTCATCCAAAGCAAAGAGAAAAAAGGAACCTAGACTACAGGACTAAGAGTCAACAGAATGGCCTCATCTACCCTGAGATCAGAAGAACTAGATAGATGGTGTATGGCTACCACTACTACTGACCAATCTGAATCAGGACACCACTGTAAATGAATCCTGATAGAATAGGGGGGAAATGTGGGACCAAAATCTCAAATTATTCTTTAAAGTCAGACTTACTGGCCCAGTTCCCCACACTTACTGAGACAACCACCCTGAGATACTCTTTAAACCTTGAACTGAAAATGGCTTCTGAAATTACCTTTTTTAGCAAACTACGGGCTGGCTAACAAAATTAAGAATATTGCCAATGAGTACTGTGCTCCTTTAAAAAATAAAAATCAATGAGACCAAGCAACAATAACTTTAAAACAAAAAATATACATAAAATATAAGGGGAATAGGGAAATTCAATTAATGGACATGGAACAACCAGAATGGAAATAAGAAGAGTCATACGTTGTAAAGAATGTAGCCAATGCCACTGAACAATTTGTATACAAAAATTATTGAATGGGACAACTAAACTACTATGTAAACCATCACCAAAAACTCAATTAAAATGTTACTAAAAAAAGAGAGAGAGTTAAAGAAAACCCCCTATAGCACACTGA